TGGTAAGGAAGCCTGATTAGCTGCCTGCGCAATCTGATTGCTGTTTGAGAAAATTTTGTAGAATCCCCAAAGTCTTTGCAAGTTGGGTGCGGGGGGAACCAATTCTCGTTTCAAAAGGCCCCATAACACCTTGATGTGAATATATAGCTCATTCTGAGCAGAGAAACAAAAAAGCATGATCAGATGCCTGCTTAACATGCATTGAAGAAAAATATCAAACCTTGGTTGTCGCAAAGTCAGGGGGGAAATCACCCGTCTGCATCTGCTGTGGGTGTTGCTTTGGAGATGAAACTTTTGTCAAATTGAGGTTTGTGATGTGGAGCTTATATAGGCAAGGCGGTAGCTGCGGGTCTCAGCAGTAGCTGCCACTGATGGCATGGTACATGCGGAAAGCTGAGGCGGACCAAAGTAAACAAAGGAAAGTATCTTCAGGGCTTTTTTTAGGCTGAGCGGATTAACCTTTGCTTTTGTCAGGAATAAGCAAGCTTCCGTTGGCAACGGAGAAAGTGCGGGCGGGGAATTAGAGGGGGGGTTTGGTTTTGAGGGCTTGAGTGGGCATTGGAGGAGGATCGGGTGGACGAGAGTCGTTTCAGAGGGCGCTGCAGGGGGCAAGACGGGCCAGCGGAGCGCCGGGGGGCCTGAGAAATGAGGCGGACGCAGGGGTGGTTGAATCGGGGTGGTGCTACAGGGAGTGGAAATTGGCAGGGATTCGGGGGTGCGGGAAATCCATGGGAGCGGGAATGGTGGAAGAGTTGCCGAGTTGTGGGTGAGGAGCTACGGGAGTGATGGATATATATTGGAAAATCATTGAACATACAGGATCATTGTATTATCATCTCACAACAAATTCAGGGGAAAAATTGAGGAGTAAAGCTTCAAAATCACCAAAAGGCAGAACATTCACAGTCTTGTTCCGGGTTGCAGTGTGCAAAGAGCGGTAACAACGGAGTGTTTTTTATTGGGGATTAAGAAAGATACTCACCAATCTAGAAGTTTTCTGCAGTGAAACCAAAGGGTACTCGACACACATCAGAGA